TCACACGGAGTAGCCGAACAGGCAAAAATCGCTCGTATCCGCTCACTTTATCTTTGCACGGAAACTCTTCGTGTTTCTGGACAAAGAGGGGCAACTGTGAGCATGTGATTTTTGCCCTATGAGAGCTACTCCCAAAAATTCAAAATAAAATGGTTTTGTGTTGTTTGTGATTTATTTGTATTTTGTGTGTGCATGTTTATTTTTACTTTAATTAAGAAAAATACAAAAATATATGTTGCATGTGCATTTAGGATTTAATTTTATAATTTAGGAATTAATTAAACAATCAAGTTTGTTTTACAACATGGAAAAATCACAAAAATATGTGCTTTGCATTTTTTTTTTGCATTTAATGTCCGAATTGTGTGATTTTTATCTTTATTGATGTTTAGTTTCGTGTGATAGTTATTATTAAGAGTTAATATTTTTAGTTAATTGTCGATTTTATAATTTAATNAGTGTGCTTCGAATATTAGATCGAAAATCAGGCTGGAACCCTATCTCGTCCAATGGCCTCCAATTTCACACCACAGCTTCCCCGAGACTTCCTCGTTCCAGTCCCATACTCATTTCCCTTCGAATCAAGCCCAAGCGTTTCGAATATTCATTCGAAGGTCCAAACTCTAGCGCCGCCACAAGATTCTCTAATGGCGGCGCCACCTCCCAAGCCATCCCTAACTAACAACCAGTAACCTCCTTGACTCCCTCACCCCAAATCCCACCCATGTTCTGTCCAAATCTTGTTAGAGCCTTTCGAATTTCAGATCGAAGGCAAACCCTAGAGGAACCAGCTTCAGACTGTGTACGAGGTTAAAGGTTTGAGGTCTTAACCGACTTTAGTCGAGTGTTCTCAGTCGAGAACACTCGATTAAGGTCCGTTTTGGCTTCAAAATTGCAAAACGAAGTGTCAATGAAATGGGGTTCATTTGGGTTTCTGATTTTTGAGGTAATTCTCCTCTTTTCCTTTTTCTTCTTTGATTATTGTTTGTTATTTGACAAATTAGGTTTCCTTGCTATGTTTGTCAATCAATCCTCTTCCTCTTTCGGACCTTTTTCTGGTCCAATTTTCTCATCTTGGTCGATTGGCGTATGTTGAATTTATTATTATGTTCGTCGATTGACTCGTTCATGTATATAGTTCAGTTGTTCTTCTCAAGTTATTGGTTGTTGTTTTGTCTTCCGACCTTGGTATTTTCAGCCTCAGGGCTCATAGCTAGTATACTTGTTTGTTCCATCATTTTTGTTCGAGGTGAATTTAGAATTGTATTTGTTCCCAATATAGATAGCTTACTCTCATGCATCTGTATGAATCAATTTCTTGACCTTAATAGTCCAGTCTGACTATTGTCCTGAATCATTGAGTCCCTATCTTGGTTGAAATGCTGTTGGATTTGATTTGAGTTCAATTGCTGATTAAGTTTAATGACTTGGATCTACTTGTTAGTTCTGTTAAGTTTGTTCTGATATGAATCTGGCTTTGTTGAATTGTCCTAATGTTGTTGATTGGGAGTTAGTTTCATGTGTTTGATTAGTCAATTGTTAGGATTTCTAACTTAGTTGAATTGGTTATAGCTGATGGATTTGTTACAGATTGAAAAGGGTTGAGGTAGGATAGTAATTTCAGGGGCTTTAGGAGGGTATTTTGGGATTGAAAAGGTTTGAAAGTAGTTTAAGTTGAATGGTCTGACATNGCCCATACCTATTTGAATTTAAATAAAGAAAAGACAAGGGTAGTGGAGAACAAGTGAATTAAAAAGAGAACAAAACATGTAGTAGTGGTCGAGGAATATCATGGACAGAAAATTTGATAGTTTCAAGGCAGAGAGGGCAGGCCTGTTTTTGGGTTATAAATAGAGTCATTTTAGACAGATTGGGGGGGATTTCGGAAAATCTGAATGGGGCTTTTTGAATCTGAAAAAAGGTCAGAGTTATAGAGTAAGGTTAGGCTAGATTTTGACATCAGAAATTCAGAGTGAGTGAAATACAAGCTGAGTTTTTACCCTAAAGAGTTCAATGGGTTGAGAGCTAAATACTGAAAAAGTAAGGTATTCTTTACTACTGAAAATCAGAATCAGTTTGTTACTGTTTAATTGAGGTTCTGAGTGTCTTTATTTGAGAATCTGAAGAACAGAAATCAGAAAATCTACTCTTCTGTCTCATTTCTGAATACATTCTGTTCCTGTGTGTGAATAGCTTGGTATTTTCTGGTTTCACTCCTGGGTTTTGGACTGCTTGTGCTGGGTGTTATTTCTGCCGGTTGTTGCTCTGCTCTTTGCTGTGGTGTTGTTGTATTGTATACTACTGTTGCTGCTGACCTGCCTTTCTTCTTCTTCTTCTTGTATTCCAATACCAGGTACACTACCCTGAACCACATTGATGTAAGCTCGTGGAAGTTTGAAATGAAATGTTCGAACACATTTATTGTTCAACTGAGGACTGCCTGCATTTTAATTGATAGTAGTTTAGATGGTTTCCTGTTATATAGATGGTAGTTATGTGTATAATCAAAACTATTCTTAAGGTGGGTTATCTGTTAAACATTGTATAACATTGAACTGTTAAATTGAACCCTTGGAATGGCATGAAGTGTAGTCAGTTCAATAGGTTTGTGAAATGGTATTGTTGAATCAGTTTGGAGGAACTCGATTGTCATCAGTAATAGGTGGATCTAGATTAATGTCAGGTTAAAAGGGTAATGAACTTGTAATAAGATTTTACTTCATGAGCTGATCTAGTAATATTCATCCTACTCGCTAGTAATTTTATCATTAATCATGCTAGTGTATTAGGATGTCTTCGTTTGAATAACAGTTTCTGAATTCGATGGTAAGCAAACCCTGAATTGTTGTTGGTAGATTAGTGTTGAAATCAGTTAAAAGTCAGGAAAAGAAAGGCTCATTTACATTAAATCGGTTCATTAAAACCCATAGTTCGTAATAGATAATGGGTATGATAAATTGGTTTAGGAATTTTGGAGTTCATGTCTGTCAATTAAAATGAAGGTATGCATTGTCGTTGAGGTGCGTCATCGTTAAGTTGTTGGTTCGAACAACAAAAGCTGGGACATTGCACGCTTGTAATTAATTAGGCCTTTTTCTCTATCTTTAGAGACAAAAGTAAATAGAGAACCATAGTCGCTTTAGGATATCCTTAAAATAAACGAGGCGTGCCTCGCCTAATAAGTTGCAAACTGCGGGGCCCTCAATAGGTGCTTATGATAAACACTTAGGTTTCGGGATATGCCGTCTTAGCAAATTTCGCGGCATTCTCAAAATAATAATGCGTTAGCATCTTTAGGCGCGTATTTAATAATGTTACCTCCCTAAACTCGAGTGCACATTTATGTGACTCAAATCCAAATCTCAACGAAGTTGGAACGTATCAAAATTGCGGGTACATTTATGTGGCGCAGTTCGAGATGCATTCTCACGACGTTGCAATCTTTTTAAAAATAATAAATAATAGAAGTGGCTGATTAGCCCTTTTAAAAATAAGTGAGGCGTGCCTCGCCGAATAAATTACAAATTGCGGGGCCCTCAACGGATAGTTATTTCAAATGCTTAGATTTCGAGATAGGCCGCATAGCGAACTTTACGGCTTTTCTCAAAATAACAACGCGTTAGTATCTTTAGGCGCGTATTTAATAATGTTATCTTCTTAAACTCGGGTGCACATTTATGTGACCCAAATTCAAATCTCAACGAAGTTGGAACGTATCGAAAATTGCGGGTACATTTATGTGGCGCAATTCGAGATGCATTCTCACGACGTTGCAATTCTTTAAATAATAAATGATAAAAGCGGTTCAAGGTTAAAATTGGTACATAGGTTCAAAATGTATTAAAATCAGATAAATAAGCCAAATATGACAGTTGAGCGACCGTGCTAGAACCACGGAACTCGGGAATGCCTAACACCTTCTCTCGGGTTAACAGAATTCCTTATCCGGATTTCTGGTTCGCTGACTGTTAAACAGAGTCATTCTTTTCCTCGATTCGGGATTAAACCGGTGACTTGGGACACCATAAATCTCCCAAGTGGCGACTCTGAATTAAACAACAAATCCCGTTTCGATTGTCCTTTAATTGAAAAAACTCCCTCTGTGCCCCTACGGGCGCGGGCCAAAAAGAGGTGTGACACACATTAGGCAAACAGTCTATAGGTTTAAAATAATCAATTGCATCCTAGACACCATGCTTATAGGACTCCTGCACTTACGTAACCGTTTTAAATCAATGACATTTAGAGATCATGCATATATGAGCAAATCAGTTGAATCAGTTTCGTTTCAAATCTAAAATCAGTCATAAGTCCGTAGATTTTCGTTTATAAAACCAGCATCCTTTTCGTAAAAATCAGTGTACATTGTTAGATATCATGCCTATAGGTTTCACTTAGGCAAACTACTAGGTAATTAACCAACTGTATCAGTTTTGATAACTACATCCAGGCAGGGCTAATTCGGACTCCTCATATGAAACATATGTGATAAATCAGCATGTCCTACGCCTTAATTTATTAAAGACCTAACCAGTACTTGTAAGTCATGCTAAATAACTTGCTGCTTCGAATGAGGAGGCCTACTTGAGCCTTAATTGCTATTTGTTCACCCTTTAACTGCTGTTTTTTTTTGCTTGTCGCCTAGATTTTTATCCTTTTGAAACTCCGGAAAAGCCCCAATTCCCTCCCATTTAGGATTAGTAGTCTCAAATGCCTCCGGGATTGATAGGATCGGGACGGGTAATAGCAGACAATAAGTAACAACACCATTCTGCGCTTTAATACCTTAACGGGGTGGGAAGGGTAATATGATGACCGGTGCGCTAATACCATGTGTAGCCCCTCTTTTGAGGAGTGATTATCGGGTATTGCATTGATGTGATCCATAGTAATCATAAACCTAGGATCCCCTTCCCTTTTATTTGTTTTCATCTATTCCTTGTAGAATTGTTTGAATCTTTCATCAAATTCCTGCCCCTTTTTACCCTTTCTCAAGTTTCGACTTACTTGTAATGTTGTATGTGAACCCCTTCTTATTTGAGCCCTTAATTGTTTATTTGATTATACGAAACAATTGTAACATGGTGATAACCACACTACTAGATCAAACTCAAACACTTCTTGATGCCCTAATGCACTTAATCATTAGATTGAACCTCCAAATGTCATGTCTTTAGAAAAAGGGGCGCTACAAATGGGTGATTAATCACTAGGGCTCTATGTGGTGGAATAAGCAGATCTCTCTGTGACTTATCTTTTCAAGGTGTCCAATCTGATATAGTCAAAGAACTTAAGCTTCTCATATATTTTAATGGAACCAGATGGCCTTTGAAGAATAGGAATAAATCCTTTCTGTAATGGAAGTCTGTTCTCAATCATGAAATTGCTTATATTGTCTTCCAATTTTCTTGTTCTACTCATCTCATGAATTCCTTTGTTTGAAGTCAGATAAATTTGGATGAATTTGCCAGACTGTGCAATGTCATTGCACTAAAATTTGAAGAGAAAGATTCAGTGAGTCCACTTTCCCCTTTCAATTACAACTTCAAAGGTTGTAATGGTGAATTCTTCATATGCTGTATTCTGTTGCAGCAATCGATCTTTGAGAAGTGTCCAAATATCTATCATTCACCAGCATCAAAGAAATTGAGACACTTCATCCGAAGCCCTACATTTGAGTACATAATAGTGTTCATTCTCCTTGTCAATCTTGTTGCTGTTATTGTTGAAACTACGGTATGAATCAAAGCCATCTGCATTCTTTAATTGAATTTGTGAATAGCCCCAGCCTGTAGGACTGAGAGTTGTCTCATTTGAATTTGTGAAATGATTTTTTTTTTTTTTTGGTCAAATGAAATGAAATGTTATTTGTTAATTGTTTACAATCATGTCTATAAAGTAAAATGAAGGGGAGAATACATTACTCTCCAGGTACTGACCTTCAACCTGGTATTAATTAACAATTGCCTGATTGTTGCAATTGTTATCTCAAATCAAGCTAAAGTTTGGAATCCTTCCCCTTGTTGTAAGAATATGTTCCACCCGATCCCAATGCACCTGAACATTGAACTTCTGAACTTTTCTCTTCTGCTTTGTTTACTGTCTAGTGCTTTCTTACTCTGTGGGTGCAACATTGAAAATGTAGGATCTAGGATCTATGTCTGATAAGTATAGCATAGTGCCACCATACAAGCTTCTATATTTAACTACCTATATAAACCATCTCTTCCAAATCTTTTATTTTTGAAAGGACTGCCACCATTTTATTGACCACTGACTTTGAAGAAAAGATCCAATCTACATTCTCACAGGAAAAAGAAAAAATAAATAAAGAACAACTTGAGATTCTCACATGATATTATCCACCGGTTTCTCTTTTTATTTTTTTATTTTATGGATGTCAATGAGGAAGCTTTTGTTTGCAGGTGAGCTTTGTGCGTCCATGAAACAAAGAGTATTGCGCTTCAAGAAATATCCAATTCTTACTTCCACTATCTTTGTCTACGTCTTTTCTAAGTTCGGCATGAATCTCGCTAACTTACTGCTGGTGATTTCTAGCTTGATGTGCAGAATAACTCAGCTCAAATCTTTTGGCAGAAGGCAGAGACCATCTTCGGTAAGTTGCACAGTAAATTTCAGGCCTTGGCACCAATATTTCTAAATAGCTATCCTTTTTAAGTAATCACAGTAAGGTTGTAGTTGTCACCCAATAGGTAGAAGTTATGTTCTTTTGTTACAGGTAAAATGATTTTATTAAGGTGAAAATTTCCCGTATACCAAACACACAAAATGTAAAGAGTCTGCATTACCATATACCTCCATGGTTTCCATCTTCTTCTCATCCCATGAGACTAATATGCCTCCCCCACTCCCATTAGCTTGAACTACGTCATACTTAAATCACCTCCCTTCTCACACACTTCTTACAATTGAATCCAACATAACCTCCAATTTTCTCTCCTGAAAGCACACTAAGTCTGAACTGCACTATAACCTCCAATTTTGTCTCCTCAAAACATAGTCTGCACTGCACTTTCAAATCTATTTGTTTCTTTTTCTTCAGCCCAGTTAGAGTGTCCGCCTATTTCCTTTAGTGAACTCGTTCATATTTTCTCGCCAGACCGGAACATTTGTTGTCCTCAACAGTCAATTTACTCCTTAAGACCTCGGAAAAGCAAGTTCGGAGAAATTAATAAGAATATTTAAATTTCTTTTGCTATCCTTATGCTGTGATGCTCCCACTTCAGAATTATTCTCAAAATTATTTGAGCATTATTCTTCAAAGTCCCTCGTCTTAAAATAGTTGTGCCATGCTAAATTCTTTGAGTTAAGCTTAATCGGGCTTTTACATATTTTCTAATTTGTTGCATAGGCTGGTTGTATGCCATCGAGATGGCATTAAAAGTGTACACCTATGGATGTGAGAATTATTGGAGGGATGGTAAAAATCAGTTTGATTTTTGCATCACTTGCTTCATTGGTAGGTTGTTTATAAACCTGACTGATTTCTCTTATTAAATTGTATACCGAAAGTATTGTATTAGCACTTGGATTGATGTTTTTTGTTCATCCGCAACTGTTTTGCTCTGATACCAATTGTTGGGAATAAATCACCACAGAAATAATATTCACGGTAATAACAGCGGAAAAATAACATAGTATCGAGATACAGTAATCAACAAAAAGAACACAAAGATTTTAACGTGGAAAACCCTTCTGAATAAGGGTAAAAAGTCACGGGCCCGAGAGGAGCAAAGTAATCCACTATTATGACGAATTTTATACTTCGTAGTCCCGAGCAAAATTTTACACTATTATGACTCTTGATAGGAAGGTATGGAGGTCGAGGATTAGGATAGTAGAGTAGGTAGTCTAGAGTGTTCATAACAGTAGGATTGACACGTAGTCTCGCTTTCTGTTGGTAGTAGGTTTTTATGACTAACCGTTGTTTTCTTTCATTGTTGATCATCTTGCTATCTTGTTGTTTTTATTCTGCTTTTATATGGCTTTTTGGTACTGTCCCTTCTTGTCTATATTTTCATTAATTTGGTGTTTATGCTTTCCTGAGCTGAGGGTCTATTGGAAACAACCTCTCTATCCTCACAAGGTAGGGGTAAGGTCTGCGTACGCACTACCCTCCCCAGACTCCAAGGTGTGGAATAATACTGGGTATGTTGTTGTTGTTGTAGTCCCGAGTTAAATACTCCAGGGACCACTAAACACTCAAAAGAAATAACCCTCTTTTGAGATTTTCACCTCACTACAATATCGCTCACTCTTTATTTTCCTTCACAGACTACATTGCCTGCAAATACCTCAGACTGCTCTTTAACTCTCAAATATGTTTTCCTCTGAGATGGTGTGTGGAATGAGAAGCCGAAGGCTTCTATTTATAGGTGAAGCAACCGAAAGTTTAACCAATCAGAATTGGTTTACTTGCAAATCTCCTAAGTTGTCACCGTCACCATCTAAGGCCAAAACTTTTTTTGGCATCATGCAATTCCCTTTTTTTTTTCTTTTTCAATTATGGGGATGGACCCCATAAATCCCCCGCCAGACCCATTCACCGGAAGGAGATTACACCGGACTTCTAACTTAAGTGCATGCCGACAAGTTCTTCACACAACTCGAACTTGTCTCTTGGTACCACCTTTATCAACATATCTGAAGGATTCTCACTTGTAGGAACCTTCTTGACCTGCATAGATACGTCCTCTATCTTTACCCGAATCAGTGATATCTCACGTCAATATGCTTTGTTCTTGCATGATACATGGTGTTTTTGTTTAGGTCTATTGCACTTTGGCTGTCACAATAGACCACGTGCTCCTTTTGATGCAATCCAAGTTCTTGAAGTAACTGTTTCCGTCATATCATCTCCTTGCGAGCTTCAGTAGAGGAAATATACTCTGCTTCAGTTGTAGAAAATGCAACACACTTCTGCAACCTCGATGACCATGATATAACTCCACCTGAAAAAGTAAACAAATATCCAGGATTTTCAAGAAATCTGCTAACAACACCAACTGCATGAGCAATATCTAGTCTGGTGCATACCATTGCATACATCAGGCTTCCGACTGCTGAATAATAAGGAACTCTCGCCATGCTCTCTTTTTCTTCATTTGTTGTAGGACACATTTTCTTGCTCAACTTTAGATGACTAGCAAGAGGTGTGCTAACTGGCTTAGCACTCTTCACGTTGAAGCGTTCCAGTACACGTTCAATGTACTTCTCCTTAGACAGTCACAACTTTCTATTTGTTCGCTCTCGAACTATCTTCATCCCCAGAATTTCTTGTGTTGGGCCCAAGTCCTTCATATCAAATGACTTGGACAAACTTCCTTCAACCTTGCAATCAGCTCCTTGTCTTTTCCTACAGTTAACATGTCATCCACATACAACAACATAATAATAAAGTTGTCAGAAAATCTTTTGAAGTATACACGTGGTTTAGAATAGATCTTCGTGTAAGTTTGACTTTTCATGAATAAGTCAAACTTTTTGTACCACTGCCTTGGTGCCTGCTTCAACCTATAAAGCCTCTTATTCAATTTGCACACCATGTGTTTCTTTCCAGCTACTTCAAATCCTTCTGGCTGCTCCATATAAATCTCCTCTTTGAAATCTCCATGAAGAAACGCAGTTTTTACGTCCAACTGCTCTACTTCAAGATCTAGGCTAGCTGCTAAGCTCAAAATTGTTCGAATAGAAGTCATTTTCACAACATGTGAGAAAATTTTGTCAAAATCAATATCTTTCATTTGTTCAAAACCTTTTACCACCAATCGAGCTTTGTATTTGACCAGCTTGCCATTTCCATCGTTCTTGAGTTTAAAGACCCATTTGCATTTGAGTGATCTTTTATCCTTTGAAAGTTCAACCAGCTTGTACTTGCCATTTTTCTGTAGAGATTCCATCTCATCATGCATGGCTTTCATCCACTGGTTCTTTTCTGGATGGGACATCATCTCCTGAAAACTTTCTAGCTCCCCTCATCACTGATGAGGACATATATGTGGAAGGGTACCTGCATGACTCTACCTTTAGCCTTTCTGATCTCCTTAGAGATGAGGTTATTCTTCTCCCTGAGTGGGGTACTCCACTTGCTCGGCATCATCATCAAGTTGCTCCCCATGCTCAATAACCTCATCAGGTTGCTCCCCCTGCTCGGCAATCTCGTCGGTCGTACTTTATGCACCTGTGGGATAGTTAGAAATAGAAGAAATGGTAACAAGGTTAGGGATTATACAATCCTTTGCCTTCTCTAACTGGTTATCTACAAATCCAACTTCAGTTTCTCGGAAGACGACATCTCTGCTTTTGATGACCTTCTTCTTTATCGTATCGCACAATCTATATCTGAACTCTTCATCTCCATATCCGATGAATATGCAGGAAACGGATTTATCATATAGCTTTGTTCTCTGCTCCTTTGGTATATGTGCAAAAGCTCTGCAACCGAACACTTTCAGATGCGAGTAGGACATCTCCTTGTTGGTCCAAACTCTCCGTAGGATGTCAAACACCAATAGAACCGATGCACTCCTATTGATTAGGTAACAGAGTGTCTGAATTGCTTCACCCTAGAATGACTTAGATGGTTTAGCCATTCTGAGCATGCTTCTCACCTTCTCAACAATGGTGCGATTCATCCTCTCAGCTACACCGTTGTGTTGTGGGGTTCCAAAAACTATCTTTTCATGACTAATCCCATGGCCCGAACAATACTCTTCAAATTCCATTAAAGTGTACTCTCCTCCCTTGTCACTTCGGAAACGCTTTAGCTTTTGGCATGTCTCTCTTTCCACCAGAGCATGAAACTTCTAGAAAACTTGAAACAAGATCTTTATTTTTCAAGATATAATCCCACAATTTTCGTGAAGCATCATCAATAAAAGTAACAAAATATTTGTTACAGCCCATCGATTCTATCTCCCATTGGACCACAAATATCAGAATATATCAAATCAAGTATATTCAATTTTCTTTAAGACGATGTCTGAAATGAGACTATGTTGTTTACCAAATAAATAGTAGTCACAAGGTTTTTGTCACGCCCCGAACCTGGGCCTGGACATAACACGGCACCCGGTGCCTGTCTATATGCGACCAAGCGAATCAACTGGCTAGCAAAATCAACATATGGTATCATAACATACTGAATGCGGAATATAAACTAACACATGTTGATATACTGAAAATCTGAATGATATAAATCAAAGTGCGAAAAACTAACATAAGTCTGAAACATATTTGTAGCCAACATTGTGTAACATGAAAAGCTTGCGACTCTATCTAACTATTACTCTAGTCTATGAAGCCTCCAATGAAGTACTATGAACACTGACTACCTGTAAATACTGAAAGACTATAAAGTAATGATAATACCCCAAAAGAACTGGGTCTCACCAATAGTTGGCACGAGAATCCTAGTGCTCTGAATTGTCAACCGGTAAATTATTACCTGCATCGCATAATGCAAGCCTCGGGCGAAAGGGACGTCAATACATTTGAATTGCACTGGTATGTAAAACAACCGAAAGAAAGAATTGTAAATATTGATAACTGAGAATTGATAAATGACAACTGAACAAGGAAGTAAGGATATGAATACTCATGGCACGTTGTACAAGACAAACATAGAAATATGCCGAGGTGAATTGAACGCGGCACAAGATAAGATTTCTACAGATTTGTGGCACAAAAGAATGGGTTATGCGAGCAATATTCTTGCAAGGAAATAACTCATCTCTTTTGTCAAAAGTACGACAATAAAACTTTGTGACTACTGTTTATTTGGTAAACAACATAGAGTCTCATTTCAGACGTCGTCTGAAAGAAAATTGAATATACTTGATTTGGTATATTCTGATGTTTGTGGTCCAGAGATAGAATTGATGGGTGATAACAAATATTTTGTCACTTTTATTGATGATGCTTCACGAAGGTTTATATCTTGAAAACGAAAGACTGTGTTTCAAGTTTTCCAGAAGTTTCATGCTCGGGTGGAAAGGGAGACAGGCCAAAAGCTTAAAATGTCTCCAAAGTGACAATGGAGGTGAGTACACTTCAAGGGAATTTGAATAGTATTGTTCGAGCCATGGGATAAGACATGAAAAGATAGTTCCTGGAACCCCACAGCACAATGGTGTAGCTGTGAGGATGAACCGCACCATTGTTGAGAAGCATGCTCAAAATGGCTAAACTGCCTAAGTCATTTTGGGGTGAAGCAGTCCAGACAGCCTGGACCAACAAGGACCAACAGCCTGTTACATCAATAGGAGTCCATTAGTTCCATTGGAGTTAGACATCCCAGAGAGAGTTTGGACCAACAAGGAGTGTCCTACTCACATATGAAGATGTTCGGTTGCAAAGCTTTTACACATTCATCGGAGATTATGGGATCCTATGAAGGTCATCAGAAGTAGAGATGTAATCTTCCGAGAAAGTGAAGATGGAACGGCAGATGATTAGTCAGAGAAGGCCAAAAATGGTATAATCCCTAACTTTGTTATCATTCCTTCTACCTCTAACAACTCCACAAGTGCAGAAAGTAAAACCGACAACGTTTCCCAACAAGGGGAGCAACTTGATGATTATGTCGAGCAAGTGGAGTACCCCACCCTGGGAAAATAACAACCTCTGAGGAGATAAGAAAGGCCAAGGGTAGAGTCATGCAGGTACCCTTCCATAGAGTATGTCTTCATCAGTGATGAGGGGGTGCCAGAAAGCCTTAAGGAGTTGTTCCATCCAGAAAAGAACCAATGGATGAAATCAATGCAAGAAGAGATAAAATCTCTTCAGAAAAATGGAACGTACAAGCTAGTAGAACTTCCAATAGGTAAAAGACCACTCAAATGCAAATGGGTCTTTAAACTCAATAAAGATGAAAATGGCAAGCTGGTCAGATACAAAGCTTGATTGGGGGGTAAAAGGCTTCGAATAGAAGAAGGGTATTGATTTTGACGAAATTTTCTCACATGTTATCAAAATGACTTCTATTCGAACAATTTTGAGCTTAGCAACTAGCCTAGATCTTGAAGTGGAGTAATTAGACGTGAAAACTGCGTTTCTTCATGGAGATTTGGAATAGGAGATTTATATGAAGCAGCCAGAAGGATTTGAAGTAGCCGGAAAGAAATACATGGTGTACAAATTGAATAAGAGTCTTTATGGATTGAAGCAGACACCAAGGCAATAGTATAAAAAGTTCAACTCATTCATGAAAAGTCAAACTTACATGAAGACCTATTCTGATCCATGTGTATACTTCAAAAGATTTTCTGACAACTTTATTATTTTGTTGTTGTATGTGGATGACATGTTAATTGTAGGAAAAGACAAGGAGCTGATTGCAAAGTTGAAGGGAGATTTGTCTGTGTCATTTGATATGAAGGACTTGGGTCCAGCACAACAAATTGTGGGGATGAAGAGAATTCGAGAGCGAACAAGTAGAAAGTTGTGGCTGTCTCAGGAGAAGTACATTGAACGTGTACTGGAACACTTCAACATGAAGAGTGCTAAGTCAGTCAGCACACCTCTTGTTAGTCATCTGAAGTTGAGCAAGAAGATGTGTCCTGCAACAAATAAGGAAAAAGAGAGCACGGCGAGAGTTCCTTATTCTTCAACAGTCGGAAGCCTGATATATGCAATGGTATACACCAGACCTGATATTGCTCATGCAGTTGGTGTTGTTAGCAGGTTTTTTGAAAATCCTGGAAAAGAACATTGGGAATCAGTCAAGTGGATACTCAGGTACCTCACGAGACTTTTTGTGTTTTAGAGGATTTGATCCAATCTTGAATGGCTATACAGATGCGGATATGGCAGGTGACCTTGATAACAGAAAATGCACTACTGGATATTTGTTTACTTTTTCAGGGGTAGCTATATCATAGCAATCGAGGTTCCAGAAGTGTGTTGCACTTTCTACAACTGAAACGGAGTATATTGCCGCTACTGAAGCTGGTAAGGAGATGATATGGCTAAAACGGTTCCTTCAAGAACTTGGATTGCATTAAAATGAGTATGTGGTCTATTGTGACAGCCAAAGTGCAATAGACCTAAGCAAAGACACCATGTATCATGCAAAAACAAAACATATTAACGTGAAATATCACTGGATTTGGGAAAAGATAGAGGATTGATCTCTGCAGGTCAAGAAGATTCCTACAAGTGAGAATCCTTCAGATATGTTGACACAGGTGGTACCAAGAGACAAGTTTGAGTTGTGTAAAGAACTTGTCGGCATGTACTCAAGTTAGAAGTCCGGTGTTTTATCCTTCCGGTGAATGCGTCTGGAGGGGGAGATTTGTGGGGTCCATCCCCATAATTGAAAAAGAAATAAAAAGGAAATTTCATGATGCCAAAACAAGTTTTGGCCTTGTTGGTGACAGTGACAACTTAGCAAAACCAATTCTGAATTTCTGATTGGTTAAACTTTCGATTGTTTCACCTATAAATAGAACGGCTTCTATTCTATACATCAATCACAGAGGGAAACTTATTTGAGAGTAGTGCGAGGTATTCGCACACGATGTAGTCGGTGAGGGAAAACAAAGCGTGCAAGGGATATTGTAATGAGGTGGGAATCTCAAAAGAGGGTTATTTCTTTTGAGTCTGTAGTGATCCCTGGAGTAGTTTACTCGGGACTACGGAGAGTAAAATTTCTCATTATAATGGATTAATTTGCTCCTCTCGGGCTCGTGGTTTTTTTCCTTATTCATAAGGGTTTTCCATGTTAAAATCTTTGTGTCCTTGTTGTTCTCATTATTCTTGTTGACTACCGTATCTTGGATACGTTATTGTTCCGTTGTTATTACCGTGATATTATTTTTGTGGGGGATTTATTTCCAATAGTTTATAAACCTGATTGATTTTTCTTATTAAATTGTATACTGAATGTACTGTGTTAGCACTTGGATTGATATTTTTTGTTCCTCCCTTTTGCTCCTACCTGTATTTCAGAATTATCTCTCTTCCTACTTATCTATAACTTATGTAAGGCTTTATTTGAAAGTGTCATTTGCAATGCAGCTAGCATTAAGCCTTTGTTTGATGTATCCATTATTGATTTTAGCTCTTGTTTTTTCTTGCTAACAGCTTTTTTTGGATTGTTGTTACCTATCGTTTCATAATGTATTGCATTGTATTGTTTGATGAATACAACGTTTGAATAGATTGTATCGCTTCTCGTCGTTTTATGATGTCAGGCACCAACAATATGAAGAATAAACTTGCAACATTATTAAGAAAAAATAGGATAAAGAGTAGAATTATTATATAAAAAAGTAGGGTAAATGATAAAATGTGATTATTTAATAATAAGGAAGGGCAAGATGAGAGATAAAAGCAAGGAAACAACGTCACCACACCAAATCCGTCGTTCCATAAAGTGGCACTTTTCGTCATTACGAAACAATGGATTTAACGATACGATACAGCAATCAAAATATATATTGTATTTAAAGTAACAATACGATACAATACAATAGGTAACAACCATCCAAACAAGCTGTAAATATGCCTTTTCAGATCCTTTTCCCACGACAGTTGAGTTTTCAAATTGTCTTCTTTAATCCCACAAGTAGATAGTTAATTACCTTTCCTCTTTTCTCTAGTCTCTGGATTTTAAGGTTACATGCCTTTAAATATTAAGCTGCAATTACTGTTGTCTTTCATTTATTGCTTTGTCAAGTAAAGTTTTTCTCATCCAATGATTTTCTTGATATGTGTTTCTCTAGGAAGGAGAAAGAACTTAAAGACTTATGTCCATTGATTTACTTGGTATAGGTTGGTGTTATTTAGCTTCGTTTTGAGGGATAGTTTGATTCCTTCTATCCACCCTAGAAGGTTTGCATGTCCTTTATTTTGTCTTCTATTATGTGTTGATTTATTTGAGGACTTTTACCAGCCTCTCAAATTAGGGTTCTTAAATTAAACAAACACTCAAGTGTTTGTGTTAGCATGTTTACTAACAATCTAACAGCATATCTTTTGTCATTCTTTTTCGTAGTTTATTAGTTGTGGGTGGTAAAAGTAATCATGGTATGTAAATAATGGACAAAGGGATGAGATAAGAAATCCTCTAAAGCTCTTAATTTACTTGGAACAAATGAAGTAGTTGGATTTGGATGGTTATAGATGATCTACCTGTCCTGCATTATATCCTTCCATCAGCCCACTCAAAGGGAAAACACGAAGGAAGGATAGGATATCATGTTGGGAAACGGTTGTTTATGTGAGTAAGGTGCTCACGTGAAAGATATGCGAACTTCCAATGATTTTACTTCATTTACTGGAGGTGGTTGCTTGTTCTTTTGCAAATTATAGTGAACTATTATCTGTAATTTTTGTTTTTATGGTCTAATAAGTAACGTAAAATTATTTGAATCAATTCAACAGCACTGCTGTTTGTCAAGTTCTTAGCATAAATTGGTAACTTCTTACTTATGTGAACATAGTAAGATTGCTAAATCATTTCTCGGAAGTTACTGATATTAACTCAGTTTATGAATGATTGCAATTTTCACAGGTATTGAAGAAATAACTACTTTGGTATGCCCTCATGGTCTGACTTTCATGTCCAACGGAAATTGGTAAAGGCCTTGACAGCTCATTGTGCTGTGACTGCGAAATTTATGCTCTATGTTGTGCTTGAGTAATTCAATTATTTTCAAGAGTATGTTACCATAGACAAGTACAAGATTTTGTGGCGGTGAAATAGAATCTTGTGTTTTGTTTTATTCTATTTGCTGGCTTTTGAATACTAGTCTTGAGGCAAAGAGTTAATAAGAATTACGAACTAAAAGGTAGAGAATGATGACAAAAGTTCCCAATTTACCTTCTGTGGCTTGTATCTCCTTTGCTTATAGTGATAGTGAACTTGTGCTGGTTATAATATTATCTACTTAATATAATCACCAGAAAGATGAAGTGTGGGCTGATCATGTACACAATATTGCTCCACTATAATGGTAATCTAGCTTATGTCTTATCAAGGAAGATTGAAATTCAAAATCTAGTTCAATAGTATGGCATATTAGCTGGAAGCGAATCAAAAAGTTACATCTGTACATTCAACATTTTCATGTGATTGCCTGAGATTCTATAATTGTTCAAGACTAGGGTTTCTAACATCGTCAATTTCTTGGAGTATTTTATTTTTACCTAGAATATGTGTAACCATAAAAGTATGAAAAAATGTACTGTTTAGTACTTCATGTGGTCAGGAGGGTTGCACAATGTAGTTGTTAGCATAATGGACAGATTGTAGAATATCTACACTAATATATTCTCGATATGGTGAATATATGGGATATTATTAGGGATATTCTACATTTAGTGTAGAATATTGTATAGCATTAGTTGTAGAATATATGAAGAATATTTTGTAGGATTTACATTTAGTGTAGGATTTTTTCTCGTGTATAAATACCAATGTATCTGATGTATTTGAATCAAGTAATTGAGATAGTCATTCTTCAATTTCTCTCATGCTTTCTCTGTTCTTGACATGGTATTAGAGCCTTCTTTTCATAGTTTTGATTCTTAGTGTTTTTCATATGTGGTTCCTTTAAAAAAAAAAAATTGAAAGTTTAGTTCTCTTGGTTCTCTTGATTTTTCGTCAACAAGCAGTCCTAAGCATTTAGGGCTTTTGGTCTTGATCTTAATCTTGGTTATTCTAGCTATTTTTTTCCGTATCATTGTGTTTTTGATTTTCTCTATTCAAAAACATGACTTCACATAAGTTTGAGTCTTTCAGTGTTCGTTTCACTGGGAAAAATTATTCTGCTTGGGAATTTAAGTTTCAATTATTTGTCACGGGAAAAGAATTATGGGGCCATATAGATGGAAGTGATCCTGCTCCTATTGAACTTACGAAGTTAGGTCAGTGAAAGTCAAAGATGCTCGGGTGATGACATGGATTTTAGGGTCAACTGAACCTCTTATTGTTCTTAATCTCAAGCCGTACAAGACTGCAAAGGCCATGTGGGATTATTTACAAAAGGTTTACAACCAAGACAATAGCGCAAGACGATTTCAGCTAGAGCACGACATCGCTACTTACTCTCAAGGAGGTCTATCTGTTCAGGATTATTTTTCTGGATTTCAGAACTTATGGGCTGAATTTGCTGATATTGTTTATGCTAAAATACCTGCTGAATCTCTATCTATAATTCAAGCAGTTCATGAGCAAGCGAGACCAATATTTGATGAAATTGCGATCTGATTTTAAGAGTGTTCGCTCTAACTTAATGAATCGTGACCCGCCTCCCTCCTTGGATGTTTGTTTTAGGGAATTATTTCGTGAAGAGCGGCGTCTTTTCACACAAAATGCTTTCAAGCAAGAAAGTATTCATACTGTTGCATTTGCTGCTCAAGGAAAAAGAAAGGACAGGGATATGAGCACCACGCAATGCTATAGTTGCAAAGAATATGGTCATATTGTAGTAAGAAGTTCTGCAGTTATTGTAAGCAGCACGGGCATATTATCAAAGAGTGTCCCACACGTCCTCAAAACCATAAGATGAATGCTTTTCAAGCTGGGATAAATGGTTCGACTGATGATCACTCATCTTCAACTGAAACTAGCAACCAGTTTGCTACTCCAACAGTTGGACATGTTCTTACTCCTGAAATGGTACAACAAATGATTGTGTCAGCCTTTTCAGGTTTGGGGCTACAAGGTACCGATATTATATCTAATTTTTGGCTTGTTGATTCTGGCACTTCCAATCATATGACAAACTCAACTAGCATGCTAAAAAATGTACGTGACTATCATGGTCCATCACAAATTCAGATTGCGAATGGTAGTAATTTACCCATTACCAAGGTTGGGGATATTACTCAAACTTTCAAGAATGATTTTGTATCACCAAAGCTCTCAACTAGTCTTATTTCAGTTGGCCAATTGGTAGATAATAATTGTGATGTGAATTTTTCTCGTAATGGTTGCCTTGTGCAGGATCAGGTGTCGGGGACGATAATCGCGAAGGGGCCTAAAGTTGGAAGATTGTTTCCTATACGTTTTTCCATTCCTCATGTTCTGTCTTTTGCTTGTACTTCTACAGCTAGTAAAACGGAGGTTTGGCATAAGCGTCTGGGACATCCAAATTCTATAGTGTTGTCTCATTTATCAAATTTTGGTTTATTGGGAAATAAAAATCAGTTTTTAGCTGCTTCATTTGATTGTTCTATTTGTAAATTAGGCAAAAGTAAAACTCTTCCTTTTCCTAATTTTGGTAGTCGTGCTAAAGAGTGTTTTGATGTCATTCACAGTGATGTTTGGGGCATTTCACCAATTATTTCTCATGCTCATTTCAAATACTTGGCTTGTTGATTCTGGCACTTCCAATCATATGACAAACTCAACTAGCATGCTAAAAAATGTACGTGACTATCATGGTCTATCACAAATTCAGATTGCGAATGGTAGTAATTTACCCATTACCAAGGTCGGGGCTATTACTCAAACTTTCAAGAATGATTTTGTATCACCAAAGCTCTCAACTAGTCTTATTTCAGTTGGCCAATTGGTAGATAATAATTGAGATGTGAATTTTTCTCGTAATGGTTGCCTTGTGCAGGATCAGGTGTCGGGGACGATAATCGCGAAGGGACCTAAAGTTGGAAGATTGTTTCCTATACGTTTTTCCATTCCTCGTGTTCTGTCTTTTGCTTGTACTTCTACAGCTAGTAAATCGGAGGTTTGGCATAAGCGTCTAGGACATCCAAATTCTATAGTGTTGTCTCATTTATCAAATTCTGGTTTATTGGGAAATAAAAATCGGTTTTTAGCTGTTTCATTTGATTGTTCTACTTGTAAATTAGGCAAAAGTAAAACTCTTCCTTTTCCTAATTTTGGTAGTCGTGCTAAAAAGTGTTTTGATGTCATTCACAGTGATGTTTGGGGCATTTCACCAATTATTTCTCATGCTCATTTCAAATACTTTGTGACATTCATAGATGATTATAGTCGGTTTACATGGGTGTATTTTCTTTGTTCCAAATCTGAGGTATTTTCCATATTCAAGACATTTTTGGCTTACATTGAGACTCAATTTTTTACATGCATCAAAATATTAAGATCTGATTCTAGTGGAGAATATATGTCTCATGAATTCAATAATTTCTTGCTTGAGAAAGGAATCATCTCACAACGCTCTTGCCATATACACCACAACAAAATGGGGTTGCTGAGCGTAAAAATCGTCATCTTTTAGATGTAACTCGTACTTTTGATTGAGTCCTCTGTCCCATCTAAATACTGGGTGGAAGCTTTGTCTACTGCTGTCTATTTAATTAATAGACTGACATCTAAAGTGTTAAATCTTGAGTCTCCATATTATCGTCTTTATCACCATAATCCTAGCTATCATAATTTTCATACATTTGGTTGTGTTTGTTTTGTGCATCTGCCTCCTTTTCAACGCAATAAACTTTCTGCTCAGTCTACTAAATATGCTTTTATGGGTTATAGTACTTCGCAGAAAGGGTTTATTTGCTATGATCAAAGTTCCGACAAATTTCGTATTTCTAGAAATGTTGTTTTCTTTGAAAATCAATATTTCTTTTCCACTCATGTTGAGTCATCTTCTGTTTCTCCTCTGCTTCCTACTTTTGAGGATTTGTCATCTTCTTTTAAGCGGTTCAAACCCGGATATGTGTATGAACGACGTCACTTAACTTTACTCCATTGCGAAACTGATCCGCCACCTGAGACTGCTCCACAACCAGAATATGAGATATCTTCAAGGCCTGCTCCTCTTGAGCCTACTCGGCGATCTACCAGAGAACGAAATACTCTTAATAGTTATGGTTTTTCCTCTACTTTATCCACTATTTCTGTTCCAACTTGTTACTCACAAGCTTGCAAGCATGAATGTTGGCAGAATGCAATGGAGGAAGAACTTTTGGCTCTTAAAGAAAATAACGCATGGGACATTGTTTCATGTCCTTCAAATGTCCGCCCAATTGGATGTAAATGGGTTTATTCAATTAAACTTCATTCTGATGGAACTCTAGATCGGTACAAAGCTCGCTTGGTTGTTCTTGGTAACAAACAGGAGTATGGTGTGGATTATGAGGAGACTTTTGCACCAGTAGCAAAAATGACTACGGTGCGAACTATTATTGCCATTGCTGCCTCACAGAATTGGCCTCTTCATCAAATGGATGTAAAAAATGTTTTTCTCCATGGTGATCTGAAAGAAGATATTTATATGAAACCCCCACCTGGTTTGTTTTCATCACCTACATCAGATGTTTGCAAGTTGAAGCGGTCTTTGTATGGATTAAAACAAGCTCCCAGTTCTTGGTTTGACAAGTTTCGATCTACTTTGCTTCACTTCTCTTTTGAACAAAGTAAATATGACCCATCTTTGTTTCTTCGACAAACATCTACAGGTTGTGTTCTTCTTCTGGTATATGTGGATGACATCATTATAACATAAACTGATTCTTTATTAATCACTAGCCTCCAACAGCAGCTTAAGGATTCTTTTCACATGAAAGATCTTGGTACTCTAACATATTTCTTGGGGTTGGAAGTTCATTATAATTTTTTAGGTATGTTCTTAAACCAGCACAAATATACTCAGGATTTGATTGCTTTGGCTGGTTTTCAAGAATCTTCCTCTGTTGATACTCCATGAGAATTGAATGTAAAGTATCGTCGCGATGAAGGGGATCTTCTTCCTGATCCAACTTTGTTTCGACAATTAGTTGGGAGCCTAAATTATCTTGTTATTACTCGGCTTAATATCTCTTTTGCAGTTCAACAAGTCAGTCAATTTATGCAGACTCCCCGTCATCTGGTGGCAGTTCGTTCAGGAACATCAACTCATGGATTATTCTTTCCTGGTGGTTCTCCTATTCAGCTTAATGCATTTAGTGATTCTGATTGGGCCGGATGTCCTGATACTCGCTGCTCCGTCACGGGATGGTGCATGTTTCTCGGAGATTCTTTGATATCTTGGAAGAGCAAGAAGCAAGATCGTGTTTCAAAATCTTCAACGGAGTCTGAATATCGAGCAATGTCGACTGCTTGCTCCGAAATTATTTGGCTTCGTGGTTTACTTGCAGAAATTGGATTTCCTCAATCTAATCCTACTCCTCTCCATGCTGATAACACAAGTGCCAATCAGATTGGTTGCAATCCAGTTTATCACGAAAGAACCAAGCATATTGAAGTGGACTCTCATTCTATAAGAGAAGCTGTAGATAGAAGAGTTATTACTCTTCCACATGTATCCAGTGATCTTCAAATAGCTGATGTGTTTACAAAATCAATGGCACGACAGCGTCATCAGTTTCTAGTAGGCAAATTGATGTTTTTCGATCCACCAGCATCAATTTGAGGGGGGTGTTAGCATAATGGACAGATTGTAGAATATCTACACTAATATATTCTCGATATGGTGAATATATGGGATATTATTAGGGATATTCTACATTTAGTGTAGAATATTGTGTAGCATTAGTTGTAGAATATATGAAGAATATTTTGTAGGATTTACATTTAGTGTAGGATATTTTCTCTTGTGTATAAATACCAATGTATCTGATGTATTTGAATCAAGTAATTGAGATAGTCATTCTTCAATTTCTCTTCTGCTTTATCTGTTCTTGACAGTAGTCACGGTCTTTTTCTTTCTGATGCTCCCTGTCTTAGGGATACAGTAATTGCTTCTGTTTGCTGGTGCTTACAGGATTCGCTATCTTCTTATCGCAAGAATGTTACGTTTCATAAGACTCTTGATGCACATCGAGCGATTTCGTGCCTTTGTTACCACATTTTTGACCCTCATACATTGTCTGCTGCCATACTTGGGGACCATATTCTGTATCTTATGCATTTACTGCTCTCTTGGTTTACAGGTATATTTGATTCTTTGCTGCTATTACTTTGTTAATCACTCCATCGTGGATTTCATTTCTCTCTTGGTCTGCTTGTTATTACACGTAAAAGCTTTCAAAATATGGTCTTCAAGCAGTGGTGAACCATGTATGTTTTTTTAATCTTCGTAAACGTTATCTTTAAGATTTGATCTATTTCTCTGTTAGAATGTCCTTTGGCTGCCCTGCATAATTAATATTGCGCAATTGCGTGTCTAACGTTTTTCTAGCCTTCTTCTGCCTTTTACCCTTAGTTCTGTTTTCACCTTGTGCAGTTCTTTGGGGGGGGTTGTCAACACTGGAAACCCCAAGTTACACCAGACTGATCTTGCTGGTTATGAGTATCCTTTTGTTAGTTGTGAAATTCCTTGCAGAGTATTCCACAAGTCATTTTCCTTGATAGACAACGAGGAATCAATGTTTTTCTAGTGCCATGATTATATTTTTGGAACAATCTATTTTTATCATCTGAAAAAGGGAAAAAGAAAAAAGAAACAATCTGTTTTATCATCTAATGTCAAAATTCAAATATTCTTATAGTGTTTCTACGTGGAAGTCAATTGATCAACTTTGTTTTCTTGACAATCCTAGCTATTTGCTTTTTAACTTCAATGACTATCCAAATGGCATGGTGACACTTTTCAATCTATTGATGATGGGAATCTGGTCACCTTTGATGCAGGTATCCTGGTCTGGTTTCCTCAATTACCATTATATCTGCTTAGAATAACTATTTGCAAATAAAGGCCATCTTTTGTAATGCATATTCAACACAAAACAATCGTCTTTGTTAAGGGGAAACTTTAATGAACCAGCACTTTCAAATTGTCTGAGGAATGATGATTTTGGTCATGAAGCCTAGCCAAGTCCTGAAGTGACTGCATTCAAATTTTGTTGCTTCTCTCAATGCTCTGATAAAACAATGTAGAGAGTGTAAAATGATTATCTCCTGCAAATATTTATCCTTCTATTAGTGTAGGCAAAGAATGTATAGACAGACTACACGTTATTTTGCGAATTCTTATTCTTTCTTGTGGATCGATGAAAATGAGAATTTACAGATAAAAAATGTAAAGATGCTAGGTGTACACTTGTAAAAGGATAAATATTTGCAGGAGATATACAACGTCACGCATCATTTGGATTAGGGTGTCCAGAAGGCATACTTATAATGGTCCTAGACTACTGCACCTATTACCTTATATTTTTGGTTTGCTGCTCAAAATCCTTTAACATGGTATCTGACCCAATGTTTGGCAACCTCTACTGACACGTGTACATCTGTTTCATGAACTCACCATTGTGTCACACATGCCAAAGGTTGGTGGAAATGTGCAATATATACATCAGCTATATAGGAAGCTTTCCCTAACTTATATAGAGTATCTTGCCAGAGAGAGATGACGGTCCAACAAATTTGTAGGTCCCACGGACGGGTGCTTCATTGGGATTTGAGATTTAGGAGGAACCTACAGGATTGGGAGATGGAAGAATTTCACAATCTAGTTGAGGTATTGTATGGGTTGGATACACCGAATAATGTATCGGATGTATGGAGATGGCGGAAAAGTAAAAATGGATTATTCACGGTTATTTCTTATTATAAGAGGTTATTAGTGAGAGAGGAACAAGTTTTCCCTCATTACTCTATTTGGATTCCCAGAGCACCAAGAAAGGTGTGTTTCTTTGTGTGGTTGGCGGCGAGGGGAGTGATTTTGACAGCGGAAAATCTGAGAAAGAGAAGGATCACCTATGTTAGTTGGTGCTTCATGTGCAAAAGCTCGGGCGAAGATGTAGATCATCTCCTATTGCATTGTAAAGTGGCTAGTCGGTTGTGAAGAGTGATTCTTAATTTGTTTGGGGTGCAATGGGCGATGCCGGGTATAGTGAAGGAGGCGTTGCATAGTTGGGTTCACATGAGTGGAAAGAGAAGTCCAAGGGCATGGAGTGTCGCTCCCTTAGCAATCATGCGGGTAATATGGAAAGAGAGAAATAGAAGGGCTTTTGAAGGGGTAGAACAAGATTTTGTGAAATTGCAAAGTAGTTTCTTGTTCCTAGTTTCTTTTTGGTGTACTCATGAGGTCCCTATTTGTATAGAGGATTGGATCTCTTTTGTTGAGAACTATCTTTTGGTGTAGGTTCTCTTTTTTATTTTTTTTAGTATACGGCTTGTATATTGGTATACGGCTTGTATACGGGGTAGTCCCCAATTGTTAATAAAATTATTTACCTTATCAAAAAAAAAAGGATTTTCAAATGTATTATAATGATCTTATACATCGACCATTAATGCCTCATGCATTTTGCTTTAATGTGCTAATATAAAGAGATTTGAGATAATTAATACCTGTTTAACAGTTCTGACCTAGCTGCTTTTCTAACTCGATGAATATTAAGTAGCTTATATCTTACTACCATGTGTGGTCCGAGTTGCTGATAATATGCTTCTAACATTCCAGAGCTACAAGGAACTGACAGGGACTTCCTGGACTTATGTCTACTTCTTCAGCTTCTATGTTATTGCCGTTCCGTGGCTATTAAATTTGGTAAGTATCTATGTGTACTCTTTGCAAATTGGTCTCTAGACCTCCACTGAAGATCCCTACATATATGTAAACCAGATGATGTTAAAGTCAACTTCTCATGTAGAGATAAGTACTCATAAGTTCATTGTATCGGATAATATAATCACAGGGGCAATGTGTCCATTTGGGTAGAACGAAGGTACCTTTTTCCATTGGCTACTAGCTTTTAGATCCTAGGTACGTGTACGTGTATTACATTAATATCCAGTTGTAGCACCCTTGTATATCCCTCCTCCTAATGCACAGAGCAATCTATAATATTAACTTATTCTTGCTTCAACATGTTCAAGAATTGATGTCACATTTGTGTGATTTTAAAGAGAAGTGCCTTTCTAAGAACTATTCAATTTCATGAGTTGACTTATTCCATGCCCTAAAATGATGTTTCCCTATGCCCAACAATATAATGCTTAGTTCTTTAGAGTATGAAGCATGTAATCAGATATTATTTGGATAGTTTGCCCACCTGTATAAGACATCCAACATCATATATATTCTTCCTAATCAAGCTAACCACCATGCTTTCTCGCTGGTAGTTTCTAGATCTTTTATATATCTTTATCGTATATGATCGATTTAAAATTTTCATCAGTGGGAAAATGTTTGACAAAGTGCTAACATAACCTTAAGGACTGGGGAGATTTCATTGCCCTCCCCAGCCATATTTGCGTTATTAGCCTTTTAGACTTCCCATCTCAGCAACCTTTCTCTGGGGGTCATTGGTCAAATGAAAAACAATCTATTTTAGAACCCAGGACTTGGAAATTAATAGAATGACCTGAATGATGAGGCATCTGCTTGATTCAAAATTGCTAGATTTGTTCTAAATGGCTAGTCAAAATGGTCTCAGAGACTTAGTTAATGATGTATAATTAATGATATCAAAAAGAAGAAATGAAAGAACGTAAAGATCTAACATTTTTTTTTGGTAGTAGTACTGGTATATATGTGAATATGACTATATTCTTTACCAAGGCAAGGTAGCTTAAATATTCTATTCCTGTTGAATAATTACAGAAGTTGACGTTGCATCTTTTAATTTTTTAGAAGATCTAGCTCTTTTTTTTTGTGACAATTGATCTTATCATTTACTTTCCCTATGTGTGAATGCTTAAGCTGTACTAACACTTTACCTTTGCTTGGTACTCTTTCAGATTGTAGTATTTGTCTTAGAAGCTTTTCAAGCAGAAATGAATCTAGAGGCTTCAACAAGAATTGTGGATGGTGAGGACAAGGTTAGTTAAATTGTTATTACTAGCTATTCCTTTGGCCAGGAACATCTCGATAGACTCTAGCGTGTTTTTTGTATTTGTCGGCTCATCATAGAAATACTTATGTTACAAATTGCACTCATTAAATCTGTCAGTCGAAGTTTAGTTAAGAGAATTATTCCGTCACGATTTACCAGGTAGGTCACTCTTAAAAAGAGAGAAACAGAAGCTTTCGTCAAAACATGATTTTGAAATAGCAATGCGAAATTTATTAGCACATGGAAATGAGACCAAAAGGTATCTAGGATAAACTCAAACTTTCAGCCATCTTTAGCTTGTGCAACCTAAAACTAGATTCTCTAATTTTATTCCTTCACTTATTGTTACAGAGTATACTAGACTTATTCTGTTCTTTGTATTCTCATCTTTAGTCACCATTTAACCCTCAAACAGTTCTAGACTTTTATATCTTTTTACTAGCCTACCCTGTAGTTAGCTCCTTATTCTTAAATCAATCCTGTCCTACACCAACTAATTTGTACTAACTTGGAGATTTGCATCTTCGATATCATAACATATTGTTGTCTTTGCCGAATGGTAACTGTTTATATACTTTATTGCTGAAGTAATCTTGTGAACCTGAATTCTGTTTTTGTAATCCAGGAAGAAAGAAGAGGGCAGCGACGTCCTGTTGGGTATGTGTGACTGAATGATTAAACTAAGAGAACTTTTCAATGATTTAACCAATTTTCTGATTAGCAACTACTTTCATTGCACAGTGCTAAGACTCGGAGTCCAAATTGGATGATCTTCACCGTCGCATGTCTTGGTCTGAACGAACACAGCGCTTCAATCCATAAGTTTGTCCATTTTCCAGGCTGGTAACTTGTTTAAGAAATTTGAAATGGAAAAAGAAATTCTTGCATGTTCTGAGACAATCACTCATAACAATTTATCTTTCTCTTAATTTCCAGCTTTATGCAATATTGTCTTCAGAAGAGTAATTTTGGACCTGGTGGTGGATAAAAATCACACTCGAGTGATCTACTTGTATATAGTTGTGAATTGTGATGTACTCCTACTCTCCCAGTGTAAATTTTCATCCAAGCAAACCGCAACATTTTCACTTCTCCATGCAAATATGTAGTGGTTTGGTGAAGCTTCATTTTTCTGTACTTTTGGGGGCTGTTATTTTTCATTGCTAGCTGCAGTTTTGTTCTCTGTTATATCAAACGTTCGAGTTGAAACAAGATGAATTCAGCAATTTTCAGTTTTATGCTCTCCCGTAACTTGCTCATGTCCAGGGTATGATTGTTAAACCTGGTGAGGAAAGCAATTTTTGAATAATAAACTCTAACCATGGAGTGATAGGCAAGGCATTCGAATCCTTTATAGCTGCTTAAAAGAATCCTGTCAAAATGCTCAGAAGTCTCTCTCTCTCTCTCTCCCTCCCTCCCT